CTTCCAAAAAATACCACGTGCGGCCGCGCACGTACAGTGCGATTGAAACTTTGTGGCCACACTCAAGGGGCCAAAGAGCCGCATGTGGCTCGCGAGCCGCAGTTTGCCGACCACTGCCCTAGCCTAAAAGGTTCTGCATTGTTTGGCCCCATCTGCAACCCCTCCACCCCATTTATACTCATTCTGTTTCTCACTTTGGCCATGCCAGCCTTTTCTCAAGAGCTGAACTCACCCATTACCTCTGAGACTTTGTATACACTTTACAATTTTTCCTGCCTGGGACACTTCCCCAATCCCCATCCTGAAAATCCTGTATCTGTCTAGCCTCTACTTATTTTATTGTTATTATTTTTTTGTTAATCCTCACCTAAGGATATTTTTTTCTATTGATTTTATAAAGAGAGTGGAAGGGAGGGTAGAGACACAGAGAGAGAAACATCCATGTGAGAGACACACACCGATTGGTTGCTTCCTACACGCACCCCGACTGGGGCTGGGGATGGAGCCTGCAACCAAGATACATGGCCTTGACAGAATTGAACCCAGAACCCTTTAGTCTGCAGGCCAATGCTCTAACCAGTGAGCAAACTGACTAGGGCTAGTCTTACTTGATGTTTCTTCCTTAGTGAAGCTTTGTCCTACTGTCCAGTTCCAAGTAGGGTTTCTCTTATTAGCCTGAAACCATTTTTCTCCATTACAGCATCCTGTTCATTCTTTCATAGCATTTATCACAATCTATTAGTTATATATTTCTTTATGTGTGCATCTTTCTCCCAAGAGACTGCAATGAAGGATAAAATCATTCCTGTTTTATCCCTTATTGTATATTAAGTGAAATAATGAATGGGTAAATGAGTAAAAAGGAACAATTAGAAATTTTGGAAGCAACACAAATTTATAAGCATTCTTATTTCCAACTTTATGATCTAAGTTTTCAAAGTGTATTGTAATATTCTGTCACTAGGGGGCAGTTATAGCTCTCTGATCAAATTTACTTAGTTATTATCTTAGACCATTTTTTTTCCTTTACATTACCTATATTCTTTATGTCTGTTTTGAGAAAAATTATTCAAATTGGGAAATCCTGATAATTTTTATATAAATCTATATTTATTACTATGATATTTATTGACTTCCTATTGTATAATGTATTTCTGGCTATGCTAGATCAAATTTTTCTTTATTCTCACCTGAGGGTATGTTTTTATTGATTTTGTTTTATTATGTTTTTAAATCCTCACCAGAAGATATGCTTATTGATTTTATTTATTTATTTATTCATTCATGCATTCATTTTTGCTTTTTTTTTTTTTAAAGCACACGTACTAGTATATATGAATTGAATATACTTTAAATCTATAATAAAAATATCAAGTGGACCCTGGGTATATTTTATTTATTTATTTATTTATTCATTCATTCATTCATTCATTTTTGCTTTTTTTTTTGGCTTACTGATTTTAGAGAGAAGGGAAAGGAGAGGGGGGGAGAGAAAGAGAGAGAGAGAAACATCGATGTGAAAGAGAACATAGATTGGTTGCCTTTCATATGTGCCCTGACCAGGGATTGAACCTGCAACCTTTCAGTATACAGGACGATGTTCCACCCAACTGAGCCACACCGGCTGAAAGCTGACAGCCACCAGCACTGCTCTGGGACTGTGTTTAAGCATAGGTCCATAACTTTTGTTGCACTTTCAGTCCCCATCTCTCCACATGTCATTATGTTAGTGTACTATTCTGGTCAGCTATCAGTTTTAGAGTGAAGACTCTGTAGTGGTTGTTACTTTGGTATCCCTTTTCCTTTTATATATTGCCTCCCATTGCTTGTTTTGTAGAGTTTTTTTCTCTGTGTTTGTGATAAGAATAAAAACAATAGATATTCCCCAACTTATGAATAGGTTTTATTTTCCAAGTCCATATTCAGGTCAACTAACTAGCATTTGGAATTAGTTTTTCCCATTAGAGAACATTTTTAGGCCAACCCTAAATAATTTATTTTTTCATAACTATTTAATCACCATTTACAGTCTGGTTTCTATGAGAAAGTGCATTGCAACTTCTAATGTCAGGTCAAGAACACCTTAACTTCCTGGGCATACTCACCACACACACACACACACACACACACACTCACACACACACTCACACACACACTCACATTCTCTCTACCTCTACCTCTACCTCTACCTCCTTCTCTACCTTCCTCTCTACCTCTCTCTCTATCTCTATCTCTCTCTATCTCTCTCTCTATCTCTATCTCTCTCTCTCTATCTCTATCTCTATCTCTACCTCTCTCTCTATCTCTATCTCTATCTCTATCTCTCCATAATACACATACTCCCCACACTATAGGGACTCATTTTTCCATTCTGCACCTTATTCTGGTAGTGGGAATATATGCATGATTAGTTTTATGCCATTGTTGTTGGAAAATATAATAGTTATGATTTCAACCTTAAAATTTTTTCCCCTTTTTTTCTCCTCTTTTCCCCCCATTGGCTCCCTCCATCCCCCACCCCCAGACCTGCACCGCCCTATTGTCTGTGTCCATGGGTTATGCATATATGGTACAAGTTCTTTGTTGATCAACTTCCGTCAACCCACCCTCCCCCACCTTCCCTCCAAGATTCCCCACTCTGTTCCCTGCTTCCATGTCTCTGGATCCACTCCGTTCATCAGTTTATTTTGTTAATTAGATTCCACATATGAGTGAGATTATGTGATACTTGTCTTTTTCCGACTGGCTCATTTTGCTTAGCATAATACTCTTCAGGTCCCTCCATGCTGTCTCAAAGGGTAAGGGATCTTTCTTTTTTTACTGCTGCATAGTATTCCATGGTATAAATGTACCACAGCTTTTTTATCCACTCATCTACTGATGGGCACTTGGGCTGTTTTCAGATCTTAGCTATTGTAAGTTGTGCTGCTATGAACAAAGGGGTGCATATATTCTTTCTGATTGGTGTTTTGGGTTTCTTACGAGATATTCCTAGAAGTGGGATCACAGGGTCAAATGGGAGTTCCATCTTTATTTTTTTAGGAAACTCCATACTGTTTTCCACAGTGGCTGCACCAATCTGCATTCCCACCAGCAGTGTACTAGGGTTCTCTTTTCTCTACATCTTCGCCTGCACTTGTCATTTGTTGATTTGTTGATGGTAGCCATTCTGAGAGGTGTGAGGTGATACCTTATTGTCATTTTAATTTGCATCTCTCTGATGATCAGTGACTTTAAGCATTTTTTTATATGTCTCTTGGCCAACTGTATGTCTTGGCCAGTGTGGCTCGGTTGGTTACAGCATCCTCCCATACACTGAAAGGTGGCAGGTTCGATTCCTGATCAGGGCACAACTAGGTTGGGGTGAGTGCAGGAAATAATCATTCTCTCTCTCTCTCTCTCTTTCTCTCTCTCTCTCTCTCTCTCTCTCTCTCGTCTTCCTCTTTCTCTAAAATCAATAAAGAAAGTTTTAAGAAATATTTTTTTCTAAATATCTTTTTAGAGACATGTCTTCAGTGTTCTTTAAAATGCTTATTTTTTTTTTTATAGAACATATAGGTTAAATCTTAAAAACACTTTTAAAAAAACTCAGATTATCTTACTATTTTGGGGTTTTGTAGGATTGTCTATTTCTTTTTATAAGTACCCCGTGGTCTTGTAAATCTTTGCTGTAATTTTTTTCTATAGCAGTACTTGCTCCACAATATGACATTATATTTCTCTGGTCCAGTGTTAGCCATCTTATACAAGCTGAGTTGATTTCACTCTGAGTCTTCAAGTTTCTTTTATATTTGCGTTTCTTCCTGGTGTGATGAATAAGAACATACTTGGTCACAACGTGTGGTGGAAAAAGTTTGAAAGGGACTATACAGTAAGGAGGGATCATGAATGTGACACCTTTATTTAAATAATAAACACGGGACTAGAATGTGTAGTAGGAACTTTGCATGTAGGAACCAAAAGTTAACCTTCTGTATATGCTCAACATTTGTCAGATTCTTATTAGAATACTCTCTTCAGCTCTGAACTTGACAACTTAAGCAAGATGTGGAAACAATTGGCAAGGTTCGTAAGCGGGCAATAAAATTATATTAGAGGATGAAAAAACCTTTAAGAGCAGGTTGGAAGAATTGAAGTTTCCTAGGGAAGAGAGAGCTTAAAGCGTATGAAGAGCTGGATGGATGGCAACTCTCCATGTCTTCTGGCCAGGTGGTACGAAAAGGAATGTCCTACATTTTTCTGGAAGGATTTATGGGCATATGAACTTTTCTCTCCATTGCAGGATGATTGAGAACACATTGTATGCACTCTCTCTCTCCTTGATCTTGTCTGACGTCACACTTTTCTGGTTCTCTGTCTACCATTTGAGACGTTCTTGTTTTGACTGCCTTTCTAGGAAGGGTCTCGCCTTGGCTCTCTGCCTTTCTGATCCTTCCTTTCCTCTTTTCCTCCTCCCCCATGGTGAAACCTTATGGCTTTTGCTTCCGCCTTTTTAAAAAAAAATCTTAAATCCATCCTATACACACAAGCAGCAGTGAGATCTCCCCAAAATGAAGTTCCCAGGTCACTTTCCTGCTCGAATCCTTTAGCAGCCTTTTGTAACCTATAGCAGAGGTTTACAAACATCTCTCCAGGGGCTGGATCTGGGAGAGGAGTGACGTGTTCACAACCCCCCGGCTAGTGCATCCCTGCAGCAACTCCCCATGAAAGACGGTTACTGAGCATGTGTTCCCCACCGAGTACGCCCGGAAACAAGGTGGAGAATACGGGCTTATAGAGCAAGGTCAGGCGCCTGAGGGAACTTGGTCCCCTGCCTGTGCAGCCCCACCCACCTCACCCTGCCCTGGACTGTGAGTTTGTTTTCCTTGAATCTTCTATTATACTTGGCTTACAAGACTCAGGATTTGTTATTTTAATAACAAATCTGAAGAAAGTTGCTGGGAATATTTTGTGAGGATTGTTGCACTTACATTTTGAAGACAAAAAGAGGCTGGATTTCCTGATTTTGGGCCTGCAGTATTTCCAGAGGGATTTGCTATTTTAGTTTTGGGTTTGTCTGTATCGGGTATTGGTAACATAAAAACAGAAATCAAGATAAGTATATATTTATTGAATACTAGGGGATAAATTCATTAAGAGTAGTGATACTTCTCTATGGAGTCATAAAATACTAGAGCCAGCAGGCCCTTAGAGGTTATCTTCCTCGATCTCTTATACAGATGAGAAGAAAACAGGTCTGAGAGGCTTGCCCAGGACACACCAGACAGTGTGGTAGGTCCATCTAGACCAGTGGTTCCCAACCTGTTTTGGCCATGCCCCACCTAAGTGTCTCTAAAATCCTGATGGCCCCCTACCACCACCACGTGACATATAATTCTTATTCAAAAAGTGAACTTCTATTCATGTGGAGGAAGCCTAAAAGGCCGTTAACTTGGTCTAAACAAGCTTCCAAAGAACATGGCATCCATGAAAGAGGAAAATAAAAGACCGAAAGGACAGCTGAAGTACGAGGAAGAAACCACTAAGAAAATGTTAAAAAAATATGAAGTGATATGAAAAAATAGCAAATAAAGTTTTTAAACATAGAATGGAGAACTGAAATGCATAAATATGTCACAATATATTTATATACTTTATATGAAGCCCCTAGAACCATAAGAAATGCAAAAAATTCACCGTTAACTCATTCTCCAATTGCTCCCCTTAAAAATCAAATTGCCCCCCGTGTGGGGCATGTGCCCCACGTTGGGAACTACTGATTTAGAGCCTGGCCCTGCTGCACTACACTCGTTCTCTTTTTATTGCAGGGGTTTTTGAAGTGTGTGTGTGTGTGCGCGCGCGTTTACTTTTTTTAAGTAGAGAAAGCCCTTTTCTTTTTATGTAAAGTATATCCATTTACCGTTTGTTTGAAATATTTCAAATTTACGCAAAAACAGGAAACTAAGCTACTTGTTCAAGTAACTAATTGGTGTGTATGTATATTTGTGTAGTATACTGTATATGTGTATATTTACATTATATCTAATATTTAAGTAAGGGGACTTAGATTATTGCGTGGAAGGATCTAGTTGTCTCAGCATGGGGCAGCTTAGATGAAAGTCACCACTCACCTCTAACAGGTAGCATGACCTTAGTGTATTTATTTAACTTCTCAGGTTTAGTTCTCATTATGTTAATAAAGAGAAAGTTAAATTACTCCAAGATTTCTTATAACTTTCAAATAATACTAATTACCAGCACTTGCATAGTGTTTACTATCTACAAGTCATGGTTTCAAGTACATATGCTAAGTACACACTCATATGTAATCCTCACAACTACATGAGGTATTGGTGCAGATACATTATTGAGGAAACTGAGGCATGGAGGGTTAAGTAGCCCAAGTTGATGCCTTTAGTAAAAGTGGAATCACATTGAACTCGGGGAGGCTGGCTCTAGGGCCCACAGGCATGACTCCTCTATTTCACTGTATGTTCTCTCTCTCAGCCTTGTTACTTCTTTGAATTAGATTTTATGAAAATGAACATTTAAGGAAGCCTCTCTTGTTTTTTTTTAATTTAACAAAATATGAGTAACAAATGTTTAAATTATGAGGGAACCATTCTTAGTCGAATGATCTGTTCACTCGGGAAAATTAAGGTTACTAGATATTGATAGTAGTTCTTCTTACATATTCTCTGTGTTGTTTATTGACCAAAAGAGAATCTAAATCAAACTTAAGTAGCTCCTAGGAGTCTGTAATTTTCAAAGTTGTTATGGTTTTTATTGTTATTTATTAAATAGCTTATTTATTTTTTTATTTTCTTATTTAAGAGAGGAAGGGAGAGGGAGAGAGAAAAATATCGATGCGAGAGAGACATTGCTTGGTTGCCTCCCCTATACACCCTGACCAGGGATCAAACCCACAACCTGGGTATGTGCCCTGACCAGGAATCAAACCCTTCGGTGCATGAGCCACTGCTCAACCAAGAGAGCCACAACACTTTTTAAAAATTAGTATTAACAAACAAGCTGGAAAACTATTTTTGATGTAGAATTTAATGAGAACACAATTCCGCACCATTCTGTTTTGGCAGACATTCTTGGCTGCCATAGTTTAAGAAGAGCCCAACCAGGCTGAGGGAAGGGATGCAGAACTCATACAAGAAAAATTTGGAAGACCTGGGTGTGCCCAGCCTGGCGAAGGAACAACAATCTCAAATATATGTAAAAGCATTGTTTAAAAGAAGGATTCACTAAATAGTTAATAACATTTTCATATAAGCAGAGAAGAAAAGAGGTTGCCAGGGCTAGAGGTGAGGGAAATAGGGAGAGGTTGATAAAAAGGTGCAAACTTTCAGCTATAAGACGAATGAAGTCTGAGGAGCTAAAGTATAACATGGCGACTACAGTTGATAACACTGTTGTGTAATTGACATTTGCTAAGAGACTAGAACTTACATGTTTTCACAAGAGTTTTATATATTTAAAATGGATATGCTAACTGGATGAGAGGCATACTTCTACAATATATATGTATATCAAATCACCACAATGCACATTTTAAACATCTTACAATTTTACTTGTTAATGATGTCTCAGTAAAGCTGGGGAAAAAAAGGATTGGACTCCACGGGGTAGGACTGGACCAGTAGGAGTAAGAGTTCCAGACTAGCTCAGCAGAAGCCAAGTGCAAAATTGGCTGGCTTATGCAGGTGTGGATTTCTTTCCCAGGAGGCTTTCAGGGAAAGGTTGGGTAAGCCCTGCAAAAGGATCTGCAAAGCAGGTTCAGTCATAGTTGGGTTGAACCAGGTGATGTCTCAGTTCCCCTTTCACAGTACCTGGCATGTACTAGGCACTCAGCAAATAACAGGCAGGAGAAATAGCTCATTATTTAAAACCAGTTTGACTCTTAAAGTGAACTTACTTGATTTCTGTCCTAATCACAAGGAAAGACTGAGAGGGAATATGCACCATTACTTAACTGTGGGTTTGCTTGCTAATTCCTCTTATATACTATAGGGCTTCACAGATTGTGTTGAGTTCTTCAGAACTTTTAAAAAATAATATGTGAATGTGATTTCAGATTGTGTGTGTGGGGGCTGGGGTCTTGTCCCTAATTTCTATAATTATTCAGAATAAAGTCTTAATTATGGATGCTAATGCTGATCTAAAATGTAGAAATAATTAACTTTAACTCAAACCCAGTTTGAATTGTGTTTAATGTAGAGCAGAGTAAGTTCAATTCTGTTGCTTTTGTAGGCGCATGTGAGGGAACCTTGGCTTGCTCTACCTGCCACCTCATCTTTGAAAAGCACATATACGAGAAATTGGAAGCAATCACTGATGAGGAGAATGACATGCTTGATCTGGCGTACGGGCTGACAGATAGGTAAGATTTAGGACCACTTCAGTTGTACCGATAATCTGGGAAAATAAAGGTTTTACTAGTTCACGTCTGGGTAAGGCCAGACCTGTGTGTGTAATAGTGATCTTTCTGCATAGGTAACAGTTAAAAACTTTGAATATAAAATGTGACATTTCTCTCTGTTTCCACTATTCCACAGTTTAGCTCTTATGAAACTTTTCTTTTTTATAAAAGTAAAAAAATAAATGTTGCCGAAACCGGTTTAGCTCAGTGGATAGAGCGTCGGCCTGCGGACTGAAAGTTCCCAGGTTCGATTCCGGTTAAAGGCATGTACCTTGGTTGCGGGCATATCCCCAGTAGGAGATGTGCAGGAGGCAGCTGATCGATGTTTCTAACTCTCTCTCTCTCTCCCTCCCTCTCTGTAAAAAATCAATAAAATATATTACAAAAAATAAATGTTATTTAGTCTATTTTTATTCCAGAGATTACTATTTGCTACAATTTAGTGAATTGGGATTAAGTTTAATGCTTTTTATGGTATCATCGAAGGATAGATTTGATAATTGAATGAAATTATAATGGAAAGTTTTACCTACTTGAGAACAGAATTTTTAAAGGTACTTAATATATAATAGTAATTATGTTAAGATGAATTTCTACTTCTAAGTGTACATTAAACTACATCAGTTAGGTTATTCTTGTTATTAATTAATAGGTAGTATTACTCTTAAAATTGGTAACATCTAAAGTAGCAAGTGAGTGGTATCAAGTGATACCTTATTCTTTTTTAAAAAAATCTTTATTGTTACAATAAAGTATTACAAATGTCCCCCTCCCCCCCAATTGACCCCTTCTAGCCCACACCCACCTTCCGCCCCTCCCCACCCCAGGCCTTCACCACCCTATTGTCTGTGTCCATGGGTTATGCATATACATACCGGTTCTTTGGTTAATCTCTTCCCTTTCACCCACCCACCCCCACCTTCCCTCTGAGATTCGACAGTCTGTTCCATGCTTCTTTGTCTCTGGATCTGTTTTGTTCAACAGTTTATTTTGTTCATTAGATTCCACATATGAGTGAGATCATGTGATACTTGTCTTTCTCTGACTGTGATGTCTTATTCTTAAACATTACCTGATATTTTGGTTGGAGCCAGGAAAAGTAGCTAGAGTAGCTAGTTGATTTACTGTGTAAGGGGCAAAATAATGAGGGCTTATGTGATGTTGGCTTTGGTGTTTACCTGTAATTTGGTGACCCTAATGTAAGATAATAATAAAAAATTAAAGCCCTAACCGGTTTGGCTCAGTGGATAGAGCGTCAGCCTGCGGACTCAAGGATCCCAGGTTCGATTCCAGTCAAGGGCATGTACCTTGGTTGCGGGCACATCCCCAGTAGGGAGTGTGCAGGAGGCAGCTGATCGATGTTTCTCTTTCATCGATGTTTCTAACTCTCTATCCCTCTCCCTTTCTCTCTGTAAAAAAATCAATAAAATATATTTAAAAAAATCAAAAATAATAGTAATGATAATAACTTTATTTCAGGTGTATTATGTAACTACAGTTTTGTTAGATTCTTAGGAAACTATCTTATCTAAAAACATAAGTTTTCTTATCCTCACAAAAATGTTTAGAGCATTCTAAACCCCATTTCCCCTGAACAGATGTAAGTACTTTCTCCTCACACCTTTTGGCTTTTACTCTCTATGGCATTTGCCACAAGCTCATGTGTTATACTAGTAGCCCTGCTCACAAATCTGTGCACCAGTAGCTCGCTGCCACCCTCCTGTAGCTCTCCGCCTGCTGCCCCGCACCCGTCATCCCTCCCCCCATAGCTTGCTGGCCTGCCCTCTTCTGTAGCTCTCCACTGCCCGCTTGTAGCTCGCTGCCCCACCCTCCTGCTGATCTGTGATCTGGTCGTTATACGGTCAGTCGTTACGTAACGACCATTTGCATATTACATCTTTATTATATAGGATTATCTGCAAATATGTCTCATCTCTTCTATTTGATTGAAAGTTCACTCCTTAATACTGATATTAGCAACTAATCCTCCACAGAGTCCAGTGAGGAGCGTGTTTATTATCCATCTTTAGGATGAGATTAGGAAATGAGTGTTTGGGGAGGGGCATTAAGAAAGTGTACATGTCACGTTCAGGCTAGATTCTGGACCACTGGTCTGTTTGGCTCTCAGGTTCTAACCCACTGCTGCCTCCTATTGCATCCCTGGCCCTGGGCACCCAGCGTGTAAGGTGTTCAAACTATTGAAGTGAGTTGCTGCTCTTTGTACCCCACTGATATTTAGAGCTGTGCCTGGAGATGCTCTGTGAGTGTCTGATGAATGTGGTAATGAAACCAAGACTTCCACATCATATTCCATCAAATTGAAGACAGTGGATTGTGAGACTGGCAATTATTTTTGTTTGCCACTAAGAAAGAAGAGAGCACTGCTAGTAAAAATATGGCACAAAGTTATCACTTAACCTATTTTGTGCAGAGTAAAATAGCTATTTTGAATTACCTAGACATACATTTGTACATCATTGTTAAAAAAGGAAAATAGAAATAAAATCGGTAGTAATTCTGAAAAAGGGAAGAAAATGGGATTATAATTATTCTTCCAATGACAAATAATTGCTTTATGAATATCAATTTACACATTTCTGAATATCAAATTTATACTCTTCTGTATTTCTGTATTAATTTTTTCTTCTGTAATCCTTTTGCACTTATTTCCAGAGGTTCCCATGGGAGGATGAGATATTGTAGAAAGCCTTAGTTTTGTAGAATTGCACCTCTGAGTTTCCAAGGTCCCATTTCCCTTTGTCCTGCCAAGAAAAAAGTCCCATTTCATTTTCAGCAAGGCTAAGTTCAAAGCCAGTGTCGAGTTTTTGTTTCATGTTGGAGCAGTGTCCAGTCCAGCATCAGGCTAGCTTAGTTGGTGTTTCTAGCTGCAGTCCATTAGTTCTTTGCATGTGGGGTCTTCAGGGCCACATGACTATGGAGGGAACACAGGTGAATGAGACTCCTTTGTCTGCGGGATTATGTATTCCCAAATTTTTGTGGGTTTGCATTGGCCCTGCCCCCTTTAGCTAATGATCTCTGTTCTCAGGTTTGATTGACAGGCATCTTCTTATGTCATCCTGACTCACTGTGCATGCACCCATCTTCCCCTTTATCCAGACCCTTCCCCCAGTGATCTGCAGGGGATGGGCTGGTGGTTCCCTGGGGAGTGTGAAATGCAGCTTCCTGGTGAAGCTGCCCAGATGACATGCCTATAATGTTTGGCCTCCCCTTTGCTCCTTTCCTATTATTAATAACTAGCTAATCACAATGGTATAATTGTGACTGGTAGTTAAATTCCACATATGTAGTAGTAACATACTTCTTGTAACTCATTTGAAGAGGCACCTATATGAATATTGTGGCCAAGTCGGCAGCACTGATGTGACTGCCACCTCCCAGTGTAGGAGTGATTGTTAGGTGCCTTTAATTTTAAGATTTAACTGGATTTTAGAGATGTTAAAAATGTGGGGAAAAGATATATTTGATAATTGATGCTTATATGTGTGTGTATTCCAAATTTCTTGTTTTAAAGACTTTCTTTATAGCCTGTGTATGGTTTTAATTATCTGGGAATTGATTAGTCATTTTCTTGGCATTGCTAAAATCTCAGTTCTCTTCTCCACTGTTGTGCCTTCTGATTATTTCATTGCTTGTCAGTCCTTTCACCAAAAAGCAGTAGTACTGGTGAATCAATTAGTAGATGATGGAGACTAAAGACTAAAATGAAGCCATGGTCCATTAGGCTTTTTGTTTTTTATGATCACATTTTGTTACCCTCTAGTTGAGAGTTGAATATGTTTTTCAACTTAAAAGAAATGTAAAAGTTAAATAAATTCTTAACTTTGAGTAAGAAAATGTTCTATACAACTGCATTGTTTTATGAATAACACCCACTTAATACTAAACCATATCTCCCCCTTTTTTATACAGATCTCGGTTGGGCTGCCAAATCTGTTTGACAAAGTCTATGGACAATATGACTGTTCAAGTACCGGATGCCATGTCTGATGCCAGACAATCCATCGATATGGGCAAGAACTCCTAAGACAGAATAAATGGGAATATTTTCACAAAATGCTACCTATTTTTATAATTATTATTCTTAATTAAATAAGAGCATGGATGAATGAGTTTACTATGATGACCTGCTTTACTACTTTAATTCACCTTGTATAATCACTGAATTTTGTGGTCTGAAAGTATGCAATCTTTATTTTGTTTAAATTATAAAAAGCAAATCAAATGTTAGAAAACGTATGATAAAATGGCACATTTTTAACCTTACGTTTGTTTAGCAACTTTAGCAAAATGTTTTCATATAAATTCTATGCCTATTTGCCTGTAAAGTAGGTTTAAAAAGGCACTATCCCT